CTGAAAGTACGGTCGAGCGCATTTACTGCTTCCTCGGCTGCCATCACGATCAAAGAGGGTGTCACATTTCGAATTACCAGGTTTTATTGCGTTGAGCTGTCAACAAGACCATCCTTTGGGAGACCACAGCAGGACATTTTTTCGTATTTTTACCGCGAAAACCTACATAGAAACGAAACTTCGCATGCCAATATCTCAGACGGGTTTGGTTTTTCCGACCTAAAACTTAGCATACGTTTGTGTTTTAAAATTATCTTCCAGCGGACAAAAAATTTTGGCAAAACAAAAATGTCACTTTAGCCTCCAGGAATACCTTAATAGCTTTACGTAATCCTTTAGAATTGTGCTTTCGGCTTAAATAGTCGTGCCTTGTAAAATATTCTTTGGTTACATTCTGGCTCCATTCCGGTTACATACTGGTTGCATTCCGGTTATGTTCCGGTTGCATTCTGGTTGTGTTCTTGGAATAAAACGATATCGTTGGACCTAAGTTCTGAGTGCTGTTGACGTCTCTGAAGATAATTCCCTGTAACAGATTCGGTACTGATCCCCGCAGCAAGAGAGTTTCCCTAGGTTTTTGCAGAAGTGCTTTCCCAGGCCAAAAACCTATTATCACAACATCAATAGCTCTCCCGCTCTTCATGTAAACTTTCGTCCGAAAATTAGTAAACTTTCATCCGAAAATAAGCGTGTTGACCCGATTAGCTGCCCCCGGGTGTCCGAGGATGCAAAATGCATAACAACAACGTCTAAAAAACGAAACTAGACCTTAATTCGCATGATTTATGCTCTAGGCTATACTGATTTTGCTGAACAGTGTAAATCAACTTAGTCATCTTCGCCATACTGCGTTAAGCAGCTTAATAAAAGTTAAATGTGTCGTAGCTGCTTGTGTCAATCAGTTCTTCAAGCGTGAACTCGTGGTGCAAATATAAACTTTGCAGATGTATCAAACGTAACTTGATTGGCTACCGCAAACCGTTAATTTTATATTTTGAGTGTGCCGGCGTTAGACGAACTTTATGACCTAAAGAATGGAGTTTGGTTTTACAAACACATTTCAGCGCGATGAGTTCAAGTTGTTTCAACGACAACAGGGTTTATAAAAAAAAACTCTTACTTCCACGACGAATGCTCGCATTACTCACCTAGATCAATTTGTAAAGTAAACTCGGCGTGCAGTGACAAACACGTATAGGTAACCGGATTACAAACCCTTCAGTGTTAAGATATGATAACTGAAGTCATCTTTTGGTGCAACTTATATGTTTAAGATTAGCATGCAACCGAGAGTAAGTGAAATGCATATATAAAGCTTAAAACATCCAGTTTCAGTCAGTTTAATCGAGGCGAATGCATTTCCATAATCTTTGGGAACTATCAGACCAAAACGTTACTAGCCTCATCCAGACATTTAGTTCCTTGGGGCGCAGTGCGAAGAGCGGCGAGCGAAAAAATGGGCGGAGAAGCGCGATAAGAGAAAACGAAAGAACCCTTTTTCTCGCCGCGCTTCTTCCCTATTTTTTCGCTCGCCATTCTTCGCGCTGCGCCCCAACTAAGTGAACGCCTGGAAGAGGCTAAAACTTAAAAAGAAAAAAAAAAAGGTGCTTTCAACTATTTAAAATCATACTCTAGATGAGTAGATTGGTGCTNTTAATCGAGGCGAATGCATTTCCATAATCTTTGGGAACTATCAGACCAAAACGTTACTAGCCTCATCCAGGCATTTAGTTCCTTGGGGCGCAGTGCGAAGAACGGCGAGCGAAAAAATGGGCGGAGAAGCGCGATAGGAGAAAACGAAAGAACGCTTTTTCTCGCCGCGCTCCTTCCCTATTTCCCTATAGTAGTAGTATTTCCCTATTTCACGCTGCGCCCCAACAAAGTGAACGCCTGGAAGAGGCTAAAACTTAAAAAGAAAAAGAAAAAGTGCTTTTAACTATTTAAAATCATACTCTAGCTGAGTAGATTGGTGCTGATTTCCAGGTGGAGCTGACGTGGATACGCTGGGAAATGAACCTAGGGACTGTATTTCAGGCACTACATTTGAGCCACTGAAACTGAAGAAATAGGTAAGTCAAAAACGGGTCGAGTCGTTTTGCTTCGGCAGACTTGATAAGTCTGAATATCCTTCGTTAGGTCAAGATGTTGTTCTTAGCTTTTGTCGGTTCTGTTCGACCTCTTTACATAAACAAAAGAATTAGCATTTTTAACGGTAGAAACGCCATATCACCGAACCCGTCATTGGATTAATCATCAAAAGATGCATAAAAAATATCACGTTTATACGGTTCTAGTGGTCCGTTTGGGATTGTTGCCGGAATGTGCGGAATGTATTTCAAGCATTCTGCTCAAGAAAGCATAATACTTAAAAATCAGGAAATGTAACGTCACTTTCTCTTTAGCCTGCGTAGCAGGCGTTAAACGGGGAAGAGGGAGGTAAAGCGCGGATGGATGGAGGGGGACTGGGAGAAAGGAAGAACGCCTGCTATAAGAACCCCCTTTTGTTCGCTGGCTAATGCTCACTGAGTAACTTATTAATTGTTTAATCGTTGCACAATGTCACCAAAAGCAACCAACAATAGTCGCGGACCAGAAGATGTATTAGCAAGGGCTTTGAGAGATTTAAATATAACTGGGGTGAGCAAATTTCCTTTTTAAAAAACCCGGGAAAGGAGCGGTCGTGGCAGCTTCTTTAGCTGGAAGAGCTGTTTACGACAGTTTTGCCTGCTGGATACGGGAAAGGTCTGATTTATCAAATGTTTGTTCTTGCCAGGATCTTTGAATCGAACGTCGATTCTCGTTGTTTCCCTTTTCAGAAGTATCTTTGAAAGACAAGCTGCGGGAAATAGTGGAATCACTGGGCTATCCTTCTGCCGATCGCTCCATTGCCGATGCGAATTTAAAATTCTGACTGTCTTCCACCGCCTCACAATTCGTAGCTGAAGTAGTTATGGCATTGCTTGCTTTACAGCCATCTTTACTGAGAACACAGCGTAATTTTGCAGCGTTCCTGAAACTTCTACAAATACGTTTAGACAACGTTTGCATTAAATTAAAGCGAACCCAATAGGAAAATAAAAGTCGACTAAGACAGTCCCTGGACTTCGTAAATAAAATTTCGAAAGACGCTCTCCGCTTAATTTTTGCACCAGACTCAATACCACAGAACCTCCAGAAATTATGGCAACTGTTTGTTTCTTTTTACTCGCTGTTTTCTGACTCTTCGTGGTGGCAGAGGAGTCAGGACATTTCCATGAGAAAATAACTTCATGGTTGTTATGTTGTTATGTTGAGATATTCCCACTGGGAAATTATTTAAATTGACTATTGTACTGCTAGTCGCAACAATCGCCAAGGTTCCAAATATTTCACAGTTTCTTCAGTCATCTTGTTTACAGGAAAGTATTCGAAATCTATTAACGGATTAGAATTATAGTTAACAAATGCCGGGATTAATATACATTTATTAGCACAGAACAATATTAATATACCCACTGGTGTCTCTCAAATCTGCGACTAGTAGTATTGGCTTCAACGATCTTGTCAATTAATTACGTATGGCATTGTTACGTACGTCATGTCACATAAAAACGTCACGCATTAATTTCGTGTTAGAACGAAACAACCATTAAATTACTAAATTTCTGCAGGAA